GAGACAAACACTCTTCTTTGGCCCCATAATGAGAAGAGAGACATTGGAGAACATTGTGACAACTGTAAAGATCAGTGGAAAAAGGGGTACAGGCAGACTAAGAGAGATGATGCTGGATGGACTGAAACGATGGCACTGAGGGATATCATCAAGAGAGCTGTTGCAGTCAACCAGGGATCGTGATTTGTAGAGACACATGAGCACCTACGCCAGTTGGCAGGGCACATGATGATGATGATGAGGATGATGGTTGGCCCTGAATGTTATTATAAATGGGTACCAGGACATTTTCTGTGAAGTGATGGGTGCCAGTGTGATAGCTGCCATGTGCAAAGGTCACTAAGAGAAAAAGCATAAATTAGCCTTTACGTAGAGCTAAAGTCAAAGGTTAGAGTATAAGCTTCTCTACGCATTTATACACAAAGCAAGATGAAAGGAATTAGGTATGCAAGTGTCAGGTATCAATGATGACAATGATATATAACTTGACTGGAGATTTGAATGGATAAAGATTAATCTTCACATCATATATGCCGCAACAAAGCAAAGGTCACTAAGAGAAAAAGCATAAATTAGCCTTTATGTAGAGCTAAAGTCAAAGGTTAGAGTATCAGCTTCTCTACGCATTTATACACAAAGCAAGTTAAAAAAAACTACATATTTTTAGAATATAAAACAATCCCACTCAAGTTTATTTAACTCTTTCAGTCTCAGAAGGTAAAAGAAGCTGGATTATAGTAGACATAACAATAATAACGAACTGGTAAATGTATTATCTTTACAGCAGCTATGCAATTCTTCTTCTTCTTATAGTCAATGCCATGTGGTGTTGTCAGGCGTGTCTATCCACAACCTTCTGTCTCGTGTACTATCAATTTGTTCTGACACAGATGAACTTCATGCCATGTGGTGTTGTCAGGCACGTCTATCCACAACCTTCTGTCTCATGTAATATCAATCAGTTCTGACACAGGTGAACTTCATGCCATGTAGTGTTGTCAGGTGTGTCTATCCACAACCTTCTGTCTCATGTACTATCAATTTGTTCTGACACAGATGAACTTCATGCCATGTGGTGTTGTCAGGTGTGTCTATCCACAACCTACTGTCTCATGTAATATCAATTTGTTCTGACACAGATGAACTTCATGCCATGTGGTGTTGTCAGGTTTGTCTATCCACAATCTTCTGTCTCATGTAATATCAATTTGTTCTGACACAGATGATCTTCATGCCATGTGGTGTTGTCAGGCACGTCTATCCACAACCTTCTGTCTCATGTACTATCAATTTGTTCTGACACAGATGAACTTCATGCCATGTGGTATTGTCAGGCACGTCTATCCACAACCTTCTGTCTCATGTACTATCAGTTTGTTCTGACACAGATGATCTTCATGCCATGTGGTGTTGTCAGGCACGTCTATCCACAACCTTCTGTCTCATGTACTATCAGTTTGTTCTGACACAGATGATCTTCATGCCATGTAGTGTTGTCAGGTGTGTCTATCCACAACCTTCTGTCTCATGTACTATCAATTAGTTCTGACACAGATGAACTTCATGCCATGTGGTGTTGTCAGGCGTGTCTATCCACAACCTTCTGTCTCGTGTACTATCAATTAGTTCTGAACAGATGAACTTCATGCCATGTGGTGTTGTCAGGCGTGTCTATCCACAACCTTCTGTCTCATGTACTATCAATTTGTTCTGACACAGATGATCTTCATGCCATGTGGTGTTGTCAGGTGTGTCTATCCACAACCTTCTGTCTCATGTACTATCAATTTGTTCTGACACAGATGATCTTCATGCCATGTGGTGTTGTCAGGCGTGTCTATCCACAACCTTCTGTCTCATGTAATATCAATCAGTTCTGACACAGATGAACTTCATGCCATGTGGTGTTGTCAGGCACGTCTATCCACAACCTTCTGTCTCATGTACTATCAGTTTGTTCTGACACAGATGAACTTCATGCCATGTGGTATTGTCAGGCACGTCTATCCACAACCTTCTGTCTCATGTACTATCAGTTTGTTCTGACACAGATGATCTTCATGCCATGTGGTGTTGTCAGGCACGTCTATCCACAACCTTCTGTCTCATGTACTATCAGTTTGTTCTGACACAGATGATCTTCATGCCATGTAGTGTTGTCAGGTGTGTCTATCCACAACCTTCTGTCTCATGTACTATCAATTAGTTCTGACACAGATGAACTTCATGCCATGTGGTGTTGTCAGGCGTGTCTATCCACAACCTTCTGTCTCGTGTACTATCAATTAGTTCTGAACAGATGAACTTCATGCCATGTGGTGTTGTCAGGCGTGTCTATCCACAACCTTCTGTCTCATGTACTATCAATTTGTTCTGACACAGATGATCTTCATGCCATGTGGTGTTGTCAGGTGTGTCTATCCACAACCTTCTGTCTCATGTAATATCAATCAGTTCTGACACAGATGATCTTCATGCCATGTGGTGTTGTCAGGCGTGTCTATCCACAACCTTCTGTCTCATGTAATATCAATCAGTTCTGACACAGATGAACTTCATGCCATGTGGTGTTGTCAGGCACGTCTATCCACAACCTTCTGTCTCATGTAATATCAATCAGTTCTGACACAGATGAACTTCATGCCATGTGGTGTTGTCAGGCACGTCTATCCACAACCTTCTGTCTTGTGTACTATCAATAAGTTCTGACACAGATGAACTTCATGCCATGTAGTGTTGTCAGGTGTGTCTATCCACAACCTTCTGTCTCATGTACTATCAATTTGTTATGACACAGATGAACTTCATGCCATGTGGTGTTGTCAGGTGTGTCTATCCACAACCTTCTGTCTCATGTACTATCAATTTGTTATGACACAGATGATCTTCATGCCATGTGGTGTTGTCAGGTGTGTCTATCCACAACCTTCTGTCTCATGTACTATCAATTTGTTCTGACACAGATGATCTTCATGCCATGTGGTGTTGTCAGGTGTGTCTATCCACAACCTTCTGTCTCATGTACTATCAATTTGTTCTGACACAGATGATCTTCATGCCATGTGGTGTTGTCAGGCACGTCTATCCACAACCTTCTGTCTCATGTACTATCAATTTGTTCTGACACAGATGAACTTCATGCCATGTGGTATTGTCAGGCACGTCTATCCACAACCTTCTGTCTCATGTACTATCAGTTTGTTCTGACACAGATGATCTTCATGCCATGTGGTGTTGTCAGGCACGTCTATCCACAACCTTCTGTCTCATGTACTATCAGTTTGTTCTGACACAGATGATCTTCATGCCATGTAGTGTTGTCAGGTGTGTCTATCCACAACCTTCTGTCTCATGTACTATCAATTAGTTCTGACACAGATGAACTTCATGCCATGTGGTGTTGTCAGGCGTGTTTATCCACAACCTTCTGTCTCGTGTACTATCAATTAGTTCTGAACAGATGAACTTCATGCCATGTGGTGTTGTCAGGCGTGTCTATCCACAACCTTCTGTCTCATGTACTATCAGTTTGTTCTGACACAGATGATCTTCATGCCATGCGGTGTTGTCAGGTGTGTCTGTCTTGTGTACTATCAATAAGTTCTGTCACAGATAATCTTACATGCCATAATGTCAAACTGTCCAGCATTTTCTCTTTTAGGCTCCCTCTGGCACCTTTCCCCGCTAACTTTCCAGCTGCCAGGATGTACTACAGTTTTCTCCTTCTCATGACATGACCAAAGAATGTAGATGGTATCTTTCTAGTGCGAGCAATCAGTTCTCTTCATGAGTCAGTTTCTTCTAAGACAGCTTCATGACTCTTTATCTGTCCAGTGTGATGTGATCGTTTAAAAACTACATCTCCAAAGTTTTTCACTAACTAACTAACTGTTGATTGCAATTATGTAGCTATGAAGAATTATCCTTCTCACCCCAATTGACAAAGACAGAAAGCATGCAATATTAGTTGGCCAAAAACCCACATTAATGTCTCAGAATTCTATAGGACAAAGGTGAACTTAGTATATTCACTATGACTATCAGAAACATGAAACAAAATTGTTTGAACAGAGTTTGTTCTGTGACAACTGAAAAGACCACTGGTAGGAGAGAGGGAACTTTGGGGCAAGATTCTGGATGGTCTTAAAAAATTGATGCATGAAGATACTTCATCAATCAAATGGATCCACAGACACTTCTCAACCCCCATGTGAGTTCCACTGTGCCATGAGAAAGGGGGGGGGGGGGGGGGGGGGGGGGTCAGGCTCATTGTCCCCCTCCCCCCAACAACAGTGTCTTAAAGGGTGTATACTTAGGCATTTGTTGAAACTGAGATTGTCAAGTCAAAAGGTGCAGATATTGCAGCCTAGCTGTAAACCACTACCCAACATGCCAAAAGTTTTTTTAATGGTGAATACAGAAAAGAAGACAAAGAAGAAGAAGCAGAAGATCCAGAAGACTAAGCACTAAGATTTATGGTAAGACATGAACACATACGTCACATGGCAAGGCACATGATGACAATAGCTATTACAGTCCTCGGACATTTGTTCTCAAATGTACCGAGCCTGAAAGAGTTAAAAGTCAAACAAGTTACAAACAAGCTACAAACAAGCTACAAACAAGCTACAAACATAAAAAGCAGCGGCGTTATAAGAAAGCATGAGATTGTGCAGCAGCGATATAGTGGTTTACTATTTCACCGAGTTGAAACAGACAATAAGCACTTTCAAAAAAATAAATTATAATGAATTAATGAATGAAACAAAAACTGACATTATTGAACTCAGTACATGTCCAAAGTGACCACATGCTAACAGAACCAACTGCAACCTGATTACAAGTCCGCCTTTGTTTTCCCCCTCAATGTTGAATTAAATTCTAAGAAAGCGTGAAAGCACAGTTTATGCAGCAGGAAATATACAAAATACAAAAACCGATGAAACATGCAAGGCTGCACACAGCTGTTTCCCAACTGCATAACACTGAAAAATACATACCGCACAGTCTGAGTTTCTGAAATATAAAATATAATTTTAAGTGAGCAGATTCAGAACTGTCATTTATAGAACAAATGAAAATATTATACAGAAGAAATTGTTTTAATGAATAGACTTGACAACAAGTGTTACATATTAAAAATGATTACATTTGCACATAACATACGAGCAGTTGTACAATAATTGAAATCTGTTTAAGTTACACATTTATAACAAATGTTCTATAAAAAATTATGGCATTAAAAAAGATGCTGTGTAGTAAATTAATACATTTACATAGATGTTATGTAACAAAAATATATAAACAACACGTATTAAATAACAAATTATTACATTTACCACAAATATGACATAACTACTTTTTCTTCGGGTTCACTGGCTGTCAACTCTGGCAGCAATTCTGGTTGTTCATCCACTTCTGGACATTAATCTTGTTCCAGAACTTGGGATCTGTGTGCTCATCAGTTTTACAGATCTGGCTTAGTTGTGTCTGTTGGTTCCTCGCCTCTCAGGCGGACACACTTCAACCTCAGAGGACACACCCAGAATTAGCTGTCTTTGGCCACAAGCTGGTCAGGTGACCAATTGGTCTATTATTTTGCTGGTCAGGTGACCAATTGGTCTATTATTTTGCTGGTCAGGTGACCAATTGGTCTTTTATTGTGCTGGTCAGGTGACCAATTGGTCTATTATTGTGCTGGTCAGGTGACCAATTGGTCTATTATTTTGCTGGTCAGGTGACCAATTGGTCTATTATTTTGCTGGTCAGGTGACCAATTAGTCTATTATTTTGCTGGTCAGGTGACCAATTAGTCTATTATTGTGCTGGTCAGGTGACCAATTAGTCTATTATTGTGCTGGTCAGGTGACCAATTAGTCTATTATTGTGCTGGTCAGGTGACCAATTAGTCTATAATTGTGCTGGTCAGGTGACCAATTGGTCTATTATTTTGCTGGTCAGGTGACCAATTGGTCTATTATTGTGCTGGTCAGGTGACCAATTAGTCTATAATTGTGCCGGTCAGGTGACCAATTGGTCTATTATTGTGCTAGTCAGGTGACCAATTAGTCTATTATTGTGCTGGTCAGGTGACCAATTAGTCTATTATTGTGCTGGTCAGGTGACCAATTAGTCTATTATTGTGCTGGTCAGGTGACCAATTGGTCTATTATTTTATTAACCCACAATGCGGCCCTGAAAGCCACATGGAGAATTATACACAAAATTATTAAATTTGCTAAAGACATTACGTAACAAATTATTACATTTATAACACACAATATCCTTGAGTGAGTATCAGGTGTAGTCCTGGGTAGTAAAGGTAGCCGGCGTGGTGCTGACCACTGGTCTATAAAATATGGATCTAGCCCTGTATGCCCAAAATACCTGAAGGCTCGAAAAAAGGTCCTTTACTTCACTTGTAACATATATTATATTAAAAAAAAAAATACAATTACAATATATATTATGTACCAAAATACATTTACAACAGATATATAATAAATTAGAACACGTATAGCAGATTCTCCAAGGACACTGAACATTGAATTGGAGTCTGTTCACGATGAAATATCCCAGACTTGTGCAGGAAACATGACCAACCCAGGCCTGATCTTCGTGAGATTTGAGTGCTGCAGTGAATCAGGTGTTTTATATCCTGATACATTGGAAATGGATGAGCACAACTGTTCAACACGGTGCTCATCTATTTGTCCAGTAGCAGTGGCATGTGGCTAGAACAGTAGCAGTGGCATGTGGCTAGAACAGTAGCAGTGGCATGTGGCTAGAACAGTAGCAGTGGCATGTGGCTAGAACAGTAGCAGCAGTTCAGCAAAGACAACTAAGAGAAAGCTGTGAAATGAGTTTCCAAACTGATGAGGCCCAAATCCCCAGCCCATACTATCCAAGACCAATCTGGCCAAGGACTGGCCAGGTAAGTGTCTACATCATCAGTCAAAAAGCTCTTAACTCTTTACAGAACATCACTAGCATTATAACATGCCTGAAAACCTCTCTTCCTCCAGCCCTATGTGCTTTCACAGCCAGTGCATCTTCAGTGTCTTGTGTCCCGTCTTTGAGGAGGTCAGCCTATGCTCTCCATCCCTGTTTATTTCAGACCACAGTGAATGTGTTTCCCTGTTTATTCCAGACCACGGTGAATGTGTTTCACTGTTTATTCCAGACCACAGTGAATGTGTTTCCCTGTTTATTCCAGACCACAGTGAATGTGTTTCCCTGTTTATTCCAGACCACCGTGAATGTGTTTCCCTGTTTATTCCAGACCACTGTGAATGTGTTTCCCTGTTTATTCCAGACCACCGTGATTGTGTTTCCCTGTTTATTCCAGACCACAGTGAATGTGTTTCCCTGTTTATTCCAGACCACCGTGATTGTGTTTCCCTGTTTATTCCAGACCACCGTGAATGTGTTTCCCTGTTTATTCCAGACCATCGTGAATGTGTTTCACTGTTTATTCCAAACCACCGTGAAAGTGTTTCACTGTTTATTCCAGACCACCGTGATTGTGTTTCCCTGTTTATTCCAGACCACCGTGATTGTGTTTCACTGTTTATTCCAGACCACCGTGATTGTGTTTCACTGTTTATTCCAGACCACAGTGAATGTGTTTCCCTGTTTATTCCAGACCACAGTGAATGTGTTTCACTGTTTATTCCAGACCACCGTGATTGTGTTTCCCTGTTTATTCCAGACCACCGTGAATGTGTTTTCCCCGCAGTTCATGTCTGTGATTTGTCTGGCCTTAGGGCATTACCATAAAATCTTTGAGATTCTATTTCGGCTTGCGTTTAGTGTTTCTAGGGAAAGATAATGCAGTAATCTCCCTTTGCTCTCCACAAGAAAAAAGGTTGAGTATCTCAACCTCCAGCAATCTTCTAGACTGTCACGGTGAGTGAGTACTCTGCTTTGTGATGCAATCACTGACAGGGTGAGTGAGTACTCTGCTTTGTTATGCAATCACTGACAGGGTGAGTGAGTACTCTGCTTTGTGATGCAATCACTGACAGAGTGAGTGAGTACTCTGCTTTGTGATGCAATCACTGACAGGGTGAGTGAGTACTCTGCTTTGTGATGCAATCACTGACAGGGTGAGTGAGTACTCTGCTTTGTGATGCAATCACTGACAGGGTGAGTGAGTACTCTGCTTTGTGATGCAATCACTGACAGGGTGAGTGAGTACTCTGCTTTGTGATGCAATCACTGACAGGGTGAGTGAGTACTCTGCTTTGTCATGCAATCTCTGTCAGGGTGAGTGAGTACTCTGCTTTGTGATGCAATCACTGACAGGGTGAGTGAGTACTCTGCTTTGTGATGCAATCACTGACAGGGTGAGTGAGTACTCTGCTTTGTGATGCAATCACTGACAGGGTGAGTGAGTACTCTGCTTTGTTATGCAATCACTGACAGGGTGAGTGAGTACTCTGCTTTGTGATGCAATCACTGACAGGGTGAGTGAGTACTCTGCTTTGTGATGCAATCACTGACAGGGTGAGTGAGTACTCTGCTTTGTGATGCAATCACTGACAGGGTGAGTGATTACTCTGCTTTGTCATGCAATCACTGACAGGGTAAGTCAACTACTGATCCCTAACTCCCGCGCTACTTAATTAACAGATGAAAGGACTAGCATGAGCTCGACGGCCAGATTATCTAGTAATTTTACACCCTCCTCACAGGCCAGTAAACGTTGCTCTGTAGACCAGTTTTGCTGTGAACGTTCTACAAGTTCACATTTCCATGACTTCAGTGGTTGAGATAACAAGCTACTTACCTCTAGCAACGACCGAAGCCAGTATTTGCTGCAGAGAGATATAAGTAAAACACCATTAGTCACTGGGCTATGTGCCCCTCTGTAGTTAAGAGGTTTTTAATCATTAGGACAATTATTTTCCATTGTATGCAATGTTATATACTAGTGGCACCTAAGGGGGTTGGGGGGAGCATCATTTCTGTCAGCCCTGCTGTAACAGACACTATGGCGAGTACCAGTATCTTTTATTAGACACACTGTGATGGGTACCGGCACCCCAGCGGCACTCTGTGTCCTCCACACACACACGCACATGCATGCACACACACACACACACACAAAACACCTGGTGATCAGCATTCTCAAGTCCCAGGGTTCAAACTCTGTGGCAGAATTTTAAATTTTGCCTTTTAAATGTTGCCATAATTTGCCCCGTTGGTCTTAATACACTTGTTTCTGCAGTAAGGCACGTCGTCCAGCAGAGGTAGCAGTTTGATTCCGGCATGATAACTCTGGGGTTCAATTGTTGTGTTGTCTAGTGTGTCCTTCTATCTTTCTACTTCTTTCTATGAGTGCCAATCAGTATACTGTCTTTTGTTTATTATATACACTGCTAAGAATATACAATGTGTTACAGTTTCTTCATAAACATCAGTCTTAATAGTGCTCCTGACATAGCTCATCAACAAACGTTACATCTCCCCCCGTCACTTTGCTGAGGTACAAGGTGGAAAAGAAGAAGAAGAAGACATCTCAGCAGAAAATTTTTTAGTTCATTCACTTCTGAACTTACACTGAGTTTTGCGTGCACATCCATTAAACAGATACGGCTTATTTGTATGCAGACAGCTGGTTTCTTGCCTCTCAGGCAAAAGCACTGCGACTTCAAAGGAAACCCCTAACCTAATTGGTTGAATCTTACAACATGCTTGTTAGGGGGATAGCGGTTCTGTTCTAGTGTTTACCCCACAAAGAAGCAGTGTTACATAATCTTACTTACAACGTGCTCAGCAGTTAAAGTGTTACATGAACTTACATACAACATGCTCAGCCGGTTAAAGTGTTACATAATCTTACATACAACATGCTCAGCCGGTTAAAGTGTTAAATAAACTTACATACGACATGATCAACAGTTAAAGTGTTACTTGAACTTACATACAACATACTGAGCAGGTTAAAGTGTTACATAAACTTACATACAACATACTGAGCAGTTAAAGTGTTACT